CACACACACACACACTCAGAAGGGTCTCTGACTTTGAGGCCAGCCTGAACTTCATAGTGAGACCTTGGCGAAAAAAGACACACACACACACACACACGGAGTCCCGCCCACCAGACTCACTGCTGCCATTCATCACTGGGTCATGATGACTCACCACTCCTGAGGGTGGTGGCCGGATGTTACTTTCCATGACAACTCGACACAGGCACATAAAGGCAGCCCACACAGGCTTAGGACTGGTGTGGGCCAGTGCTCACCTCCCCACCTGCGTAGCTAGCACTCACCTCAGAGCCCAGCAAGGGCTGCCCACTGTAGCCCCACCTCCAGTGCCAGGCACTGGCATCTCGGCCTCTGAGAGGTTGAAGTCCGATGCCTGGGGGCTGCCTGTCCTGGGACCTGCTGCCTAAGGCCATCCGGGAGGGCATGAGGAAGCCTTTGGGTCTCACCCGTGTCCCACCTATTTTTTTTTTTTTTTGGTCTTTTTGAGACGGTCTCACTATGCATTTCAAGCTGGCCTTGAGCTCACTTGATAGCCCAGGTTGGTCTCAAACTTGCAAAGATCCTCCTGCCTCAGCCTCCCGAGAGCTGGGATTACAGGTGTGCGCCACTCACCCATTTCTGGCAGGAGAGGGACCCCCGGATGCATAGTAGGGTCCAGCATAGGGAGGAGAGGACAGACGGCTCCTTGTGGCTATGACAAACTGGCCTTGAAAAGCCCCACCCTCGCTGAGCTGCCATTGCATTTTCATTGAGATGGGAGAGGGGAGCTGTGACACGTACCTCGAGATCTTGTCCTTGGAGTTACCTCGCAGGGCTGGGAACAGCAGGCTCTTTCCTCATCCAGCAGAAGACCCGGAGTGAACACTGCAAGTGCCCAGGACAGCTCAGGAGAGGTCCAGGCTGGGAGAGTTTGAGACAAGAGCTGGGAGCAACAAGGCACCGCTACCAGGCTTGTTCTGTGTGGGAGAGAAGGATAGGTGCCCATGTCCTGGTCCCTCGAGATGCAAAGTTGACCTTACATGGCAAAAGACTGCAGATGTGACCAGGTGAGGCGACCTCAAGGTGGGGCATGATTCTGGGTTATCAGGTGTCACTGTCCCAAAAGGCAGGCAGGGGGGTGAGGCAGAGAAGACCCAGAAGGGTGGAGGCAGAGGTTGGACGGATAGGGCCCAGAAGCCTCTACAGGGGTCTGCCCTGCCCACACCCTGAGAACCTCTGGCCTGCTGAGGTCCCTAAAGTCCTCCACCAGTCACCTCTTCATGGGCACCTTGATCTGGACAGCACAGTCTTGAAAACATTCAAAGTGGCCCTGGGGGCTGGGGTTTAGCTCAGTGGTACAGCACTTGCTTAGTATGCACAAGGACCTGGGTTCAACCCCCAATACACACCCCTACCCTGGGAGACCTTTCCTGACTTTACCAGCCATGGCCAGCTGATGCCCCAGCTCTGGCCCCAGGTATGCATGCCAGATAGGGTGGGAGATTAGACCATACCTGGGGCTGCCGAACAAAGCACTCCTGGTAGCATAAGTTAGGGAATGACTTAAAAGACAAACTGACTCAGTTCTGGAAGCCAGGAGACCAGAAGTCCCAAATTTAGGTGTGGCAGGTCCTCAGAGCACTCGTAGCTACTCTGTCCAGCTCCTGGGTCCCCAGATGCTCCTTGGCGTGGCCCACCTCACCCACTTCCTTTGTGTTCACATAGCTTCTCCTTTCTGTGCCATCTCCTCTGGTGCCTCTGAGGACAATTGACATAGCATTTAGGGCCACCTGGACTGCATGGATCCTCTTAAGGTTCTTAATCACATTTTTTGCCAATAAGATCACATTCATGGGTTTTGGGGATAGTACAAGGACAAAATTGAGGGCCACTATTCAGTTCACAGCGGGCTTTGCAAACACACAAAGAGCAAGATGACAGGCATTCACAAGGCTTATAAATATGCACAGAGATGGGTACAGAAATGCCCATGGTGGCACATGCCTATAATCCCAGCACATGGGAGGCTGAGGCAAAAGGACTGTTGTGAGTTCAAGACCAGCCTGGGCTACAAAGTGAGCTCAAGGCTAGCCCATGGAGAAGAGTTCAGTTTTGGGCTACCAGATAGGTTTTTAAAAAGCCAGAGCACCTGTTGTTGGCCTGGCATGGG